TTACTCTCGTTGTGCGTATTATAAAAAAAAATGTCAAGTATAAAAGGTGTCAAACATGCTTTTCGAACACAGAAAGATGTTTAATACAAAATATCTGATATTACTATAAAATTACTCATTTAAAAAAAGGTTTAAAAAAAGATATCAAATATAATGGGGAAAAAAACCAAATTGAAAGATAACACTGGTAATATTTTTTATTTAAGAAAAATATAATCTAAGTAGTATGTATCTTTGTATCATCATTGAAAAGACTTTCTATTCTAATTCAAGTGGTAGTTTTAATTCTAAAAAAGAAGTTATATTACAAAATTACTATATCTCAATTTTAGTTACATGTAACAAAATTAAACAATAAAATCTATGTCACAGTACCTTGTATTTCCATTGAAAATTTTTCCTAAGCTAACTCTTCTAGTAATAGCTTTTAATTCCTCTTTAAATAAAAAATTTGTTTTTAAATTGTTTTTAAATTACTTAACACAATCCAAGTGATATCATTTGTATAATCAACAATTGTTTAGGAATAGGATAATTGAAATTCGTAGATTCTTTATATTTGTCTCGCGGATCACCTGTTACACGTTCGAGCTAAGTGTATATCATGTGTACCTGGCATGGGGTATACGCAGTAAATACATGCTCCGCGGAATTCGCGACGTAGCCCTATCTATGATCCTCGAAATTAGGACGAGAGAACATTGTTCATCGCGCACGACTCCCGTCCGCTTCTTTCTCTCGATTGACATGGATCGCTAGATAGTTTGATAGCGTTTCCATTCCGACATCGCCTTTATCGTCATCTCGTATTCCGAACGAAATTAGTGATCATTGCCGCATTTGCCGTGAGAAGACTTCCGATTTCGTTGCCGTGTTCTCGAAGATCTCCGTTGATTAACGCGAGAAGATTTCCGCTGTGTCGTGCGCGAACCGCCCTGTATTTCGACAGTTGAAACTACCGAAAGACATACCGCTCTCCTCGACTTTTAATTGTGTGCGTGGTGAATAAACCATATTTTTGCAAATACAACGGAATTGTTCGATATCCGACCTTTCCACCTTGGTACACGGCTCTTTCATATAAAGTGGAACTAGTCACCCGCGAACAGACCCCATGTCATATGAACATTATAAGTGGTACATTCTCAGTTAAAAATTATAATTCTTGAAAAAAAATAGAAATAAAATCTAAGTATATATCTTTGCACTTAAGAGTTTTTTTATTTAAACCCAAGTGTTATATCATAATCTTATTAAATTCAAATATTATCTATACTCAATCCTAATATGTGCAAGATCAGTTAGCGCGGGTTGGGTACGATACTTAAAGAATCGTGATCTCTTAAACACCAAAAAAAATTATAAAATGCTCTCGATAACGACACTACTCGCACACGGATGGGATCCGTTTGATCACGTTGCAATTAATCACTAACCACTCAGTTTAAACAGAGGAAAACCTCTAGGCATCGGCCGCTGTAAATGACTGTGGTCAATCGCAACGTGGTCAAACTGGACGCTCCCCTCGCACACACTCCTGCCATTAGGGCTCTTTCTTCTGATCTTCGCGCCTCGATTCAATATTGCCAGGAACACCAATATTCCCACACTTAGGAATACAATGTTTTCACATATATATATCATTTATAAAAAAGATTTTATATAAAAAAATGACGCCAAGTTATAGTTCCATTGTCTCGAAAGTTAAATGTACAATTGCTTTTAAAAAATATAAATCAATGATTCGTATCTTTGTTTCCATTGAAATCTTCTTATTCTACAACTCAAGTGATAGTAACTTTAATTCTTTCATTCGATTCAAATATACATGTATTTAAAAATTATTTAGAGAAGCATATGCAGGAATGTCAACTTTTTTCGACATTTTAACTTAGAGTCAATGAAACTTAGCAACCACAATTAACGACAATCTTCTGGGAGAGAAGCGAGGAAAATTCTTTTAAGAATTTTCCTCGCTTCTATTCTTAAAAGAATTTTCCTCATGTCAAACTCTTTGGTCAATAAGCAGTAAGCCCTCAATTAAATTCAATTTAATCACGATTATAAGTTTTTTGAGATTTCCGTACCATTCCTTTTTCTTCATCTTTCTCAGATCGTTCCTTTCTTTCTATTTTACTCTCTGCCATAGGGCCTCTCAGGTTATCTGTATTACAGAAGGCCCTTAAGTTTCATGATTACCAAATAAAGCGGTGAATCTTTTTTTATTACTTCTTCACTCTAATTTTTATTCCGCTCATGGTCCTCTCCGGCTTTATGATTAGCAATTAGAACTCTCCCTCTCCTTTCTCTTTCTCTCATCTTAATTTGTTCTCTTTATTTATATCCCTTTTTCCCTTGTAATGAATCTATCAAGAGTATCGGCTTCTAAACCTCAACAATCTAAGCGGTCTTCTAAACATGTCTGCTATTGCCGGAACGAGCGGGCTCGATGGGTGCTGCAGCAATAAACAGTCAAAACAAATTTTAAAAAAACCAACCGAACCATCGCAATCAATCTCAACTATCCCCGCTTCAGAATCTCCCCTTAATCTAACATCACAATTCCTTCCCTTCCTGACTTACCCACCAATCCGTTAGAACGTTTGATTTTCGCAATAGAACTAAGTTATTCCCTTGTTCATAAATCCGAATCGGAATCTCCTATCCTATATCCTATATATTCGGATATCCGGAATATCCTATTGATTTCCGAGTCCCCCGATCCTATGTTTCATGAACTCTTTTTCCCTGATTTCGAAGAACAATCCGTTCTCTCGACCTAATAATCCCATCTCCAGAAGAAAACCAAGACTATTCTCCTTCTTAACTATCCATGTTAATTTCCACTATAGTTTACATTTACATTTATATTTCCATGTGCATATAGATTTTCATTAATGTGCATCATGATAAATCTTATTATTAATCCCATGCCAAATGTCATTATTGTTAAGTTAAAGAAGAATTAATATTATATAACCGGATAGAATCATTGTTCAGAAAATTCAACTCAACAATCACACACTCCCTCCATTAAAATCCTACCTGATGGCCTCCGTATCAATATAACACTCGCGATATCACACACATATACACTCACGTCTCTGGACATATGCTACTTCTCTTTGCTCCTTTTTGAATCATGTATAATTTTTATGTTCATTAAAGATTTAAATTAGATTTTAATTTTTTTAATTTCTTTTAAAACCCTCATTTCCTTTCCGTTATCCCATTGATCGCACGAAATCTTTCCCTGGTACAAGGAATTAAATTTTTTGACCAAAAAACGACCGACAAACGTACGTCTACGCAATGGTGTCATAGTGTTTTCTTATCGTTGGCCCAGTACCAAGACATATACAGTGCATTTCGACTTAAAGGTTTATGTTTCAACATTTGACCTTCGAAAAAGCAGTTGTGTCGTCTTTCCGAGGCCATTCATACTCCTAATTTATTTCTTTTCTTAATTTCTTTTTTTGGAAGGGTTGGACATAACATAAGGAAGCCTCAGAAAGTACTTACTAAAAAAAATACTTTATTATAGTATTTTGAAAAAACACTCTCGAGATCAGTTACAAAAATTATCAAAAATGAGGGAAAAATTTCCATTAAAAAAAATTTTTTTGATACTTGATATTTTTGATATTTTTGTAACTGACCTTGAGAGTGTTTCTTAAGTTAACCTAAAAATTTTTTAAATGCCTTCACTTATAAAAAAAATTTATGTAATGGCCCCCTCGAAGTCATGTAACTTTTGTTATAACATAACAACTTTTTATATAACTTAAAATTTTTCGAGGTGTGCAAGTTAGAGGTTAGGATGCCTCACTTTATAATGCGTGTGTGTGTGTGTGTGTGTGTGTGTGTGTGTGTGTGTATATATATATATTTTTTTTTTAGGCCATCACCGAGTACTGGTACAGCTGGTACCACAACGGTGTCGCCAATGACCGGCGAGGAAGATACTATACAGAACATTGGAATGTACTCAGTGGGTGCATCGACATCGTCGGTGACGATAGTGACGCCGGTGACAACGACATCGACGACTATGTCGTTGACTACTTCCGGCATCGCTGCCGGAAACATCAACATTGCTAGGAGTGTTTCGGCGTCGAGCGCGCCGCGACCAGTCATCCAAGTCAACAACTCTTCGGTGAGTACCTCGGCAGCGCAACGACCGAGGCCGAAGAGGAATCAAAGTCGCACCGAGGCCATCCAGAAGTAAGTGCAAATCGATACTTCTACAATCGTTAAAATATTATATTTTTCAAAATTTTTTAACTAATTTTTGAAAATGGTTCTATTGTACATCAAAATATAAGGATTAAATTGCTATCATAAAATTGATTCACATGATATAAAGTATGTGCTATTTAAATTATACACCTCAAAAAAATATTCTAATTATAAAATGAAATTCTTGTAATCTAAGCAAAAATTTTTACAGAAAGAATATTCCTCTTCTAAATAAAGTAAGCTATTCATCCAAAATGTAATATATTATTTTAATGGTTTTCCTCTTGTATTAAGAGGAATATGTTTACTGAAAGCGGAATGCCCTATTACATGCGATACAAAAAACACGAAAAACAAAATGTGTCGCATGATAGGTCATGATTTGTTAAAATTGAAAAAGTATCACGCTGCGCGAGAAGACGCAATAAGAGCAATAAGAGAACGGCCGCATTCGGATATACACTGCCAATATAGAGAATAGTTTGTATAACGTATATTATAGATTTTTAGTACTGGCAGTGTATATCAAAAAGAGGAACACGATCAAAAAGAGTGAAATTGCGATTTTATCTTTTGTAAGAAACTTCTTTGTGGAAAAATGCTCAGATAGTATTATTTCTCATAGTTTTGTTTCTGTCATGATGAGTGAAAGTAAAGTTGAAAGATTTTTGGAAAAGATCAACTTGAAAATGTACTGGTTCATATTTAATTTAGCAAGATATGTATGTAATCTAGCAAGGATATATATATATCAATTAAATATAAATATATTTTAAAACAATATTATATATTCTGTATACAAGAGGAAATTGATATTAAGAACAACCAGATTTGCACTGCAGATGCAAGACGAAATTACTCTAAATGAAAAAAATATTGTACTTAGAATATTTTCCTTTTAATTTTAGTGGATTCCTCTTGAGGCCATGTGTAGAATAAAATCCTTTAAGATTTAGAGGATTCCACTAATTCAAAGATTATTTTTTTCTTAGGTGTATTATTTTTTATTAAAAATGTCAATGAAAGAAATTAATTTCTGCTGCACAGTATTTATTAAGCATGTGGAAAAACATGTCTTAAAATTCTATAATTCCAATAATATATACACATGAAAATTAATTATTATTTTGAAAATTTTTTGAAAACTTTTATATGTTTTAAAACTTTTATTTGTTATGCCTATGCGAGTTTTCTGCGGCCGAGTGGGATCGAGCCGCCGTTTAGTGCACGCTCTCCGAGGCAACAGATGTTTTGTTTACATGAATGTTTTACGCGATAACTCGTGGCGTACAGATGTGAATTCGCTGTATTTTGATTGTTCCGTTAAAATAAAGTTCTTGTGTTTTGTAAAAAGGTATTGATTATTTCCGAGCACGACTTCCTTGTAAATCGTGAATGTGTGCGCGAATTAGTGAAAGTGACCGCTGCGTAACAATATTATCTTTTTAATAAATTCAATATCTCATTGACTCTTAAAATTACAATAAATTGCAAATAGAAAGGCCCTAAGAGTCAAACGCGGTTGTTATTGCGTAATATATTTATTAAAAATAATACTTTGACGCGGTAACAATTTATTAATATAAATTCGAATGTAACCGTTGTTCGAACATTTCGACTCTATATTGAACCATCTTCGGCGAATAATACAAAAATTAGATTAAAAAACTCGGAACATTAACAGGAAAGATATAACCGTGGCGATTAGTGTTGTGTCTATGCGGTAGTCGTCAATTGTAAATTAAGGTGGATGCTCACATCGGTTTCCAGGCCGGTAGCATAAGGCCAATCGAAAGATTACCTAGATGTGAGCATATTTCAATCAAACTAAGTAAAGAATCAGAAGTGGATTCAAAGTAGCTGTTGACTTATCACACAGGCAATGTCCAATTAATTGTCCCACACTAAGGAGTCAGATCGCAGTCTTATTGAATAAAAATCGACACAACGACACAATAGAACCGGAATAAAAGCACATGTGATAACCACGAGTCAAGCAAGTAAAATGGCAGGACGGTTAAAAAACAATTAGGAAGTTAAATAGATATAAAACGCCAGCCATAAACAAGGGAGAAC